TTGCCATGATCATCGATATACCTTCCCTCTCCCCCTTGACCTTTCCTACAGGCTTTGGTGCTTCGTTTGCGTGCATCAATTTTAGCTACTAGCCCCTTCTTTGACATTTTTACATGTCCATTTTCACACCACTCCTCTTGAGTGAAGAGACTGCATTTTTATACCTACTCCTTCCACCTAGCACAATATCTGGTTCTCAGTGATCCTTATTGAGTGAATGAATGAATGCATGAGGCATTCTTATCTATAACTAAGGTACCAAAACTAATTAGTGAGTTTAGCAAATTTGAAGCAAGAAGCCTGGGCTAAAAAGACCATTGATCTGTTTTCAAATCTCTTTTTTGTTTCAGTTTTATAAGTAGAGCTTTGAAAATGGAAGTAACCAACTGTTTTTAAGATGAGAGAGGATTTAGGTCTCCAAATTATTCTCTACTTCACCCCTTCCCCTCAGAGAGTCCCCCCTCCTTTTTTTGATTGGTTTTGTTTTTAATGTTTGGCTTCTTAGCTGAAAGGATTCTTCCCCACAACAGTGTTCCTGCGGGTGTCTGATTTGTTAATCCTGTTCCAGTTGTGACACTCTTATCAAGAATTTCATGAATTTCCTTTTAGTTTTTGGCTTCTAACTGGAATGCTTCTTCCCAGTCATTTCCCCTCCCCTTCTTTTCTACAGTCCTATCTGCATGTTCCACTGCAGAAAAACAATACATTCTTAGATGGGCATTTCTGCCTGATTTTTGGCTCTGAGCCCTTGGAGCAGCATCTGGGTGGGTTACGTTCCCTGCTCAGGATACAGAGCAGCCCAGGAGTCTGTAGAATTTTGCTAGGGTTATTCTAAAATCCAGATCTTTTCATTTTTGCATGTCTCTTGTTCGCAATTATAGTATGGGATGAGAAAAATATACATTTAAAAAATATATATATTTTTATTGATTCCAGAGAGGAAGGGAGAAGGAGAGAGTGCTAGAAACATCAGTGATGAAAGAAAATTATTGATCGGCTGTCTCCTGCATGCCCCACACTGGAGATCAAGCCCACAACCTGGGCATGTGCCCTGACCGGGATTGAACCGTGACCTCCTGGTTCATAGGTCGATGCTCAACCACTGAGCCACTCTGGCCTTATTTACACTCCCTACCCTACTTCCACCCTCACTCCCCTTGCCCTCCCCCAACACACACACAGCTAAGTACACATGGACGATCTCTCCTGAGCTGGCAGAGTAAATGGTTGCCTGCCTATGCATGGAGCCACATCAAAAGACCCTTCTCCTATCTCATCCCCCTGATGTGAGCCAAGCTTTAGCGTTCGGACTGACCTGCGGGGGGTTCTGATCAAAAGGAGGTCTCCTACTGAGACAGATTTAAGTCTTAGCTCCATCACATCACATCCATATCCTTCCCTATAAAAGGTTCCCTATAAAAGGTGAATACTAAGAGTTATCTTATAAATAGGATAACATTTGTAAAGTACTTAACATCCATTAATTTTGTTTTATGCATCTTCTCATTTGACCTTTACAGAACCCTGCTAGACATGCAGCAGAAAAACTATAATCCCCTTTTTACAGATGGTTAACCTGGTGTTCTGAAACTTTCTCAGTAATAATAGTAACTCTTATCGATGCTTACTACTTGTCAGGCATTGTTCTAAACACTACGTTTAATCCTCACATCAGATCTATGAAGTGGGTACTAAAAACTGGGAAAATTAAGGCAGAAAAGGGCTAAGTAACTTGCCTAAGGTTAGAGCCAGCAAATAGAAGAGTTGGGATTGAAACCTAGAGAGCTTGGCTTCAAAAACAGTGCTCTTCACCACTATACGATTTCCCACTGCTTTTTAAAGTAGTGGATTTGACTCACATCTGTGAGTCCAAGTAAGTCTAAGGCTCTTCACATCCTGAGAAAGAATCCATTAGACCAGGGGTGGGCAAACTTTTTGACTCGAGGGCCACAATGGGTTCTTAAACTGGACCGGAGGGCCGGAACAAAAGCATGGATGGAGTGTTTGTGTGAACTAATATAAATTCAAAGTAAACATCATTACATAAAATGGTACGGTCTTTTTTTTTTTTAGTTTTATTCATTTCAAACGGGCCGGATCCGGCCCGCGGGCCGTAGTTTGCCCACGGCTGCATTAGAGTCTAGCGGTTCTCAACCTGTGGGTCGCGACCCCTTTGGGGGTCGTCGAATGACCCTTTCACAGGGGTCGCCTAAGATCATCAGAAAACACATATATAACTACATATTGTTTTTGTGATTAATCACTATGCTTTAATTATGTTCAATTTGTAACAATGAAAATACATTACGATTCAGAACAGTAGCAAAATTACAGTTATGAAGTAGCAACGAAAATAATTTTATGGTTGGGGGTCACCACCACATGAGGAACTGTATTAAAGGGTCGCGGCACTAGGAAGGTTGAGAACCACTGCATTAGACCATACAAGCAAAACAGCACTGAAGGAGACAGACGAGGACCTAGTCACTAGGTTATCAGATCTGCCAACCTTGGGAAGAGAACTCTAATGGCTGGGGCTGATGTTCCATCCCCTAGGGGACTAGGCGCAGACTGTGACCAGAGTGCCAGTCCAAAGCTGGGTGGCTTGGGAGCCCTGTTCGCAAAGACCCCTGAAAGTTCACGGCACCCGTTCATGCTGTTTTCATGGCACTTAGCTCTCTCCTCTAAGTGTTACAGTTACCAATGAATATGTCTAATCAGCTCGAGAAGGACGGCACTAGCTCTCTCCTCTAAGTGTTACAGTTACCAATGAATATGTCTAATCAGCTCGAGAAGGACGGCACTAGCTCTCTCCTCTAAGTGTTACAGTTACGTGTGGTGCATTTAGTAGGAGCTTAATAATAAGTGAGTTGGATGAATAAGTGATTGTAAACAAATGAACATGCCTAAGCCCCCGAGGGATTTGGAGTTTGCTTTACGTTTTTTTGTTGCACCACAATAAGCCAAATCCTATTTTTAAGTGTTTTTTTGTTTGTTTGTGTGTTTGTTTGTTAGAAAACATTTGAATGGAGATTCTTTGGGGGAAATTAAGCCACTATTTTCAACTGTTGTCTTAGGGCAACTCTTATGTTCTCCCCATATTCGTGGTTTTATTTTTGTACTTGTACCCATTTAAAACCGCGAATAGTATAGCTTTTAAAAACCAAATGTGCCATTTAATAATAGCTATCCACCCACACCTATTAAAATGTTTGCTAATGCATAAAAGCCTACAAATACCGCCTACGGTGGGTTTTAACAGGTTCTGTGTGAGTGGGTGATGCACTGGGTTCCATCTCCCTCCCCACCTGAGAGTTGTTAGTATTATTGATCTGTGTTTCTACCTTTTATTCATTAGTAGATATGGTTGTAAATGGCAGCGTGAAATAAACTTCATCCAAAGTTCTGAAGATGAATTTCACAACTTTTAACATTTTATTCAACGTGCTGGGGAGGAAAAACTTCCTCTACCTCTGAGGTTGAATTTCCGGGGCCCTGTGATTAAGCTAACAAAAGACAGGTTAGCAGGAGAAAAGGCACACCGTTTTTATTCATATTTACGTGCACCAGAGTTCATAGAAAAGAAGTGAAACTCAAAGAAGCAGTTAAATTCAGGGGCTTATAGACCATTTTAACCAAGGAAAAAGGGCTTGGGCTTCAGGGGATGATGACTAGTGTGAGAAATGGCTCACCTGTCCACATTTCAGGTGATGGACTAGGAAACAGAAGCATGGCGAAGATGAGATTTTTAATAACACTCTCAAGAGCAGGCGCCCATTTTACAGGATCACATGTAGGGCAAGGACCATTGCCTATTTATTTGGACCCTCCTCCAGTTCCTCATTGGCTGAGGACTATTTGATCACCTATTTCCTAATAGGTCGCCTAGGGATTGCCGTCTCCCATTGGGTTATCTTAAAAAAATGGGCTGGGGCCTTCTCTAGTCGCCTCTGGGACTCGTGCTATCATCCTCTCTCCCCACCCCCACATCCTGTTTGCTCCGGGGAAATTGAGCAGCAGCCACCTGGCCACATGCTGTTCCTTTTCTATGAAGATAAATCGGGCATATTTCTGACACTAGGAAATATATGGAGAAACCACACCCGGCCTTCTTTCTTCGCTCTTCTCTCTGGGTGGGGGAGGGGCACCTTCCTCAAAGGGGAATTTATACACTGCTTTTAGGCAGATAAGGTGAGTGCAGCGAACTCTTCTTGTGTCTGTTGATTCTTGTTGCCTTCAGCTCAAAATCATCCTTATGACATACTGTCATGTTTGGGGGTGGCATATTCGCTCTTCAAATGGAAAGCAAAGAATATTGCAGCGGAAACATTCTTTCCAATGTTATCTCTTTTGTATAAGACCTATTGGCACATGTACTCTTATTTTCTGTTGCATTCCATTGAATTCTTTTAAAGTCACTAAAGTATGTTTTCAAAAGGGGAAGGCAATTCCTCTGTAATCCTATTATTTAAAATGTTTTGCATACTTTCTTTCAATGTTATCTATGCGTATCTGTTTCCTACAGTTTCAGTGATGTGGGGCACACGTGGTCTGTAAATTCCTCAACATATCACACACATTCTCCATGTTCTTGCTTACTCACACTCATTATTTAGCAGCTGCGGTTTGCTTATCCATTCTCCAGTTGTCAGACATCTGGGCTGCCTTCCCAGTGGCAGTTTGCACCTCCAGCAGGGGGGAGTGCGGGGCGAGTTGGCCCCTCCTGTCTAGGTGGAACCGGGTCCTTTAAACAGCCACAGGCAGTTCAGAGGTCAAGTCCCAAGCCTCAGCCAGGCCCAGCAGGGCTTCTGGCTCCAGGCTCCTTTCTTGCTCTCTCTCCCCACTCCCAGCCTTAAGGTGGTGGAGTCCCAGCCTTAAGGTGGTGGAGTTCCACCCTGTGGGTTTCCCAGGCCAAGACTTCATTCCTGGCCCCAGTCCTACCCACACAGAGGGCCTGCCCAAGGTGGGTTCCTCCCAGCTGCTCTCTCCTTCTGTCCTAGCTCTCTGCAGACCCACCCGCGTGCAAGAAAGGAGCTGGGCCCCGGGACCTGGGCATCATGGCCCAGCTGCAGTCCTCTGAAGTGCAGCAGCTGCTCCACAACAAGTTCGTCGTCATCCTGGGAGACTCCATCCAGAGGTCCGTGTACAAGGACCTGGTGCTCCTGCTGCAGAAGGATTGCCTGCTCACTTTCGACCAGCTCAAGGTCAAGGGGGAGCTGAGCTTCGAACAGGACAAGCTGGTGGAAGGAGGCAAGAAGGATATCATGACCAACAGCACCGACTACCGCGAGGTCCGCGAGTTCTGCACCGGCCACCACCTGGTGCGCTTCTACTTCCTCACACGCGTGTACAATGAGTATGTCCGGGCCGTGTTGGAAGAGCTGGGGTCCCACGAGCACACCCCGGACCTGGTCGTCATGAACTCCTGTCTCTGGGACATCTCCAGGTATGGGCCGGATTGCTTTAGCAGCTACCGGGCGAACCTGGACAACCTGTTCCGGCACCTGGGCCAGGTGCTGCCAAAGTCATGCCTCCTGGTGTGGAACACGGCCATGCCCCTGGGCAGGAAGGTCACTGGGGGCTTCCTCCCGGAAGAGCAGCCGGCCGTTTCCTCTGCCCGGATTAAAAAGGTGATCGAAGCCAACTTCTACAGCTATGTCGAGGCGAAGAACCACAATTTAGATGTGTTGGACTTGCATTTCCACTTCCGCCACGCGGAGATGCACCGGCACGGAGACGGGGTACATTGGAACCATCTCGCGCACCGACGCCTCTCCCAGCTGCTGCTGGCCCATGTGGCCGACGCTTGGGGTGTGGAGCTGCCTCACCGCCCACCAGTGGGCCAGTGGCTCAAGTGTGACCCTGCAAGGGGCAGATCTAAACAGAGACTTGAAAGGCAGTCCCAGAGCAGCAGAAACCTAAGGGCCTTACCCCCACCCGCATCGTTGCCTCCTCCCAGGCACAGCCCCCTGCTGCCACTCCCAGCTCCCCGCCCACCCCTGTCCCCACTCCTGCCCTCACCGCCTCTTCCCATTCCCTGTCACCCAGCCATGCACCCCCAGGTCTTGCTCTGTCCCCAAGATACCTATTTTTCCTCAGACCAACCTTTCCAGTCTGGTCAATTCTTCTTCAGCAATTTCCATTCTCCCCAGACAGGATTTGACTTAGGAAATGACTTTGTGTTTGACCCCCAGCCACCAAGTGCCCCCTTCCCCACACCCTATTTTCAGCAGCCGGCCCCTGTGGTTCATAGGGGTTTTCCCCGGAGTCTACCTCCTGGCCCTTATATGCCCTGGAGACAGCTGCCCAAAGTTTACAGGAGGCAAGCCCGAGGCTACACAGAGCCAAGGCCTCATTAGACTGACTTGTGCCTTTTTCCTCCTCACGGACATGGACTTGACAGATCATCTGACCGTTGCCTAAACTGACTGATCTTGTTAACAGAAGCCGTTGATCCACATTGGGCTTCTTTTGGTTCTTTGCTGTTACCAGTTGTTAGCTATGGCCCCTTCCTCCGTGCTCTGGGGGTGACCACGTGTTATTCCTGCCTCCCCACCCTCTGTTCTCTTTGTCTTTTTGTAAACACAAAATTGAAATTAAAAAGTTGTTTCACAAAAGTAGTTGTGGGTTTTGTGTGTGTCGATATGTAATGGTGCCTCTTCCTTCCATTAAACAATTAGCTTTGTAAGAGCAAAGGGGATATCTGCTGAATGAATGGTCATGGCATCTTAATAAACTGCTCAACGTGAATTTGCCTAAATAATCCTGATTGTTTCCATGAAATGGATTGGGTATAAATGAACTAACTTTTTGTGATCCTATTTTCCAGAGTTCTTAAAGAATCATTGTATTGTAGAACTGGGGAACTAAAGACATAAAATGTAACTACCATTTACAAACAAGGAAACTGAGGCCAGAAAGGTGAGTTAATTGTTCTAGATCACATAGGAAATCACTCCTCTACTGGCCTTTCCTAGTTTATACTGGTTTCCAGTATAAATTATATTAACGTTCAAACTACAGGACTGATTTATATCAAACCAAGAAGGAATGTTTACCAAACATGGTTCGTCTATGAAAATCAAGGCAGAAAACTCCCTATAGTTCTATAATCAGAAGTTTAGTAATTAGATGTGCAATGAACTATGTATGTAAACTAGAGTGAATGACATGTTTGTGACTATGATTTCTTGAATGGTCTTGAATTTTGGACTTGAAAAAATTAGAAAAATGTTCCTATCAATGACATTTTATATTAAATAAAAATAAGAGTTGGAAGGGACTGTTAAGTGGACAACTGACAAAAGGCCATGGCATCTCTCCTGTTTTGTAGGAATGTTAATCACGGAGAGTATTTACATGCTAGGCCTTTTGTTACACTAGATTAGTGAAATGTGAATACCTGATAAGCTAGTCAAAATAGTATTGTCCCAATAATCCGAATACCGATTATTGACTTTGACTGGCTTATAGGTCCTCAATTGAACCATTCCTAAATTTTTTTAAAATATATTTTTATTGATTTCAGAGAGGAAGGAAGAGAGAGAGAGAGAGAGAGAGATATCAGTGATGAAAGAGGATCATTGATCAGCTCCCTCCTGCCCAACCCCAACTAGGGATTGAATCCGAAACCCATGCATGCGCCCTTGACTGGAATCGAACCTGGGACCCTTCAGTCTGCAGGCCAATGACTGAGCAAAACTGGCTAGGGCGGACCATTCTAAATTTGACAACGAGGGCCAGGAAGTGTCCTGCAAAAATGAAGTTCATGAAATCACAAGAAATGGATGAGCTCAGCTATCTACAGAAGTACACAGCAGATTTTAATCTACCAAAGAATAAAATTCCCAGAAAGTAAGGCCTTTATCTTATCTCTGTATCTCAAATCCTAGTGCAATGTCTAGCACTTAGTAAGTACTGAATGCTTCTTGAGTGAATCAGTGAATGAATATGAGGTGGTGTATGAATGTGTTGCTGCTAATACTACAACCCAAGTTTCAAAGGAGACACTAAACAGACATAGAGTCATTGTAGCACATCTGAAGGAATATTGCCAAAACAGCATTATGATGACCTTCAAGGACTCTAGAAAGGTAGTGATTACAAGTCAGAATGTCCCAACAAAGAGAGCAGAGGGGACCTGTTTGACCAATCTAAATGTTCTAATCCTCGCAGATCAGTGCACCAGGCTGCGCAATTTGGTAACATCAGCCTTCAAGATGAGCTCATTGCCTTTGTTCTTTACGTTTCCCAAGCAAGACAAAGCTGCATTTAGCTGTTAATCTGAGTAAACGGATGCATATATTGTTTATATTTCCACGAACTAACAAACTGGTGGTGTGGTTTAGATCTTTCTTGGGAATTAAGTTAGTATGCATTATCCCTCCTTAATCTGATCACATCTGATGAACCACAGAGAATGAGTTGTTAGATATGCAGGCTTGAGGATCAGACACTGAATCAATGATGAGTTCACTCTTATTAGAGATTAAATTGCACCGATCACTGAGCAATCCTGTTTCTCACACGTGGGTAGGAGAGCAGGTAGACTGAAACAGGGACAATCTTTTCCTCCCCAGGTGAGTTAATATCCTATGGCTGCTATAACAAGTACCACAAACTTGGCTTAAAATGACCCATTGATTCTTTTATAGTTCTGGAGCTCAAAAGTCCAAAATCCATGACCCCAGAGTACAATCTTTACTATGTTCTACTCTGTCCTACATGATCAGGCTTCTACCTGCCTCTGCAATGTTATCATCATCTTTTTTTCTTTTTCTTTAAAAAAAAATTTTTTTATTTTTGTAAAATACACAACCATTTTTCTAAGTACACAGTTTAGTGGTATTAAGTACATTCACGTTATTGTGCAAACAGCATCTTCTGGAAGCTCTTTATGCTTTCAACCATCCAGAACTTCTTTCTGTTCATAAAACATGCCAAGCTCTTTCATAAGTTGGGCCTTTCCACTTGATATTCCCTTTCCTGGAATGTTCTACATCCCCTACCCACTAGTTCTTTGAATATCTAATTCTTCATCCTTCCATCTACATCTCCTAAGAGGCCTTCTATCATTTAATCTAAAAGTACTGTTGCTATCTATCATAGTATCCTTCACTTCCTTTGTATTGCGCACCCCACTCAGCAGTGGCTTCAGTAGATGCTGTTACTCTCGCCTAGAATGTAAGGTCTACAAGTCACTGTTGAGTTCCCAGTGGCTGCTAGCACAATGCCTGGCAAAGAAGATGTTCAAGTACATTTACTTCAGTTAAATGTTCAAAAATATAATTAGTTCATAGTGTGTAATCAAGTAAGAAGGCAATATGTATTAAAATCAAGCTGTATTTGATTACTTTTCTTAAGAAAATGTCTATAGGACTCTCCGATATCTTTACCTAAGTCATCTGGGTAGCTAATGCCTGGACCTTCCCAGCCCCACTGAGGGTCAGAGGCTGATAACAGTTGAGCTTGCATTTCATTTCATACATGTTCTGGCCTTTATCTTCCACCTTAGAGCTTTCTTCTTTGTCCATTTTTGCTATTGTCATCTTGCTTTTTAAATCAAGAAACCTAGCAATGCAATCAAGCTATTGTCTGGTAAAAAGAGCCAAAGTTATTCAACATTTATGAGAGAAGTGATTGCTCTATTGTTAAGACTTAAAGTGCAGAGTTCATACGGCCTTTTCTCTCTTGACTTTTTCCTCAAAGCTTTTTCTACTTTTGTTTCAAGTTTTCTGGAAAAAGAAAAAAAATAAAGTAATATTAATGATTAAGTTGACATTATCCAAGCAGTATATGTGTCTCACAATATCCTATAAGGTAAACTATGTTATATACCAAAGGCTGAAACTTTAAAGCTGTAACTGTATTTTCTCATAAGTACAAACAAAGCAAAGCTCAGCACTTGAAAATAAATGTAATCTCACTTCCGGCCATGAGAATAGGACCAGGCCCCTCTCCCTGGTCAGCCACTAAGCTCTTGCCATCCAGGCCCTAGCATTGTGTGACTCTGAGGCAACATTTTCGTTACATTCTGGAGTTGGTACACAGCAGCGGCTCGGTCTCTGGCGGCTCTATGTTCATGAGTTCTGCAAAGGTGAGTTATTTTGAAAACTTAGATCATTAAGGTTCATGTCAGAGAAAGGATTTACTATTGTATGTTTGTATTTATAAACTCTAGAAATAATATTTTCATTCCCAGAACTTTAAGAAGGGCCTCTATCACTGCATACTTAATTTGTAGATATATTTTTTCACAAGACTTGACTCATTAATCTTTAAAGATACATTTTGTAAAACATGTCCCTTGAGCCATCATAATCTTTACTCATGCATTCTATGGGCAAGGATGCTTACCCCCAAAAAAGGATTCATTCTGCAATTGCCCCATGTGGGAATTCACAATGAGTTTTAATGGATGACAGACTCTGAGAAGTTCTGCGTAAAATAAATTTGATTAAATGTGTTTAACCTAGTATTTCCCAGATTTATTTAACCATAGACCTTTTTCATATGCACCATCTTTTTAAACCATGTTTTGGGAAATGCTGGACGGGGCAAAGTAGCTTTACAGTCATTTGTATAAAAAATAATATAACAATTTATAATAATAATACAAGAATAAACTTTATTTCATACTAGAGGCCCGGTGCAAGACATTCGTGCACTGAGAGGTGGGGTCCCTCAGTCCAGCCTGCGCCCTTTAGCGGTCTGGGAGCCCTCAGGGGGTGTCTGACTGACAGCTTAGGCTTGCTCCCCATAGACATCCTTAGCGCTGCCACAGAGGCGGGAAAGGCTCCCACCACCATCAGCCGTCAGCCCGCCATGTGGCTGAGCGGTGCTCTGCCTGTGGGAGCACACTGACCACCAGGGGGCAGCCCCTGCATTGAGTGTCTTTCCCCTGCTTGTCAGTGCGTGTCAGCAACCGATGTTCTGCTGTTCGATTGATTTGCATATTACCCTTTTATAATATAGGACAGTCACAACTGTAAACCTACTTTTTCTTCATTCTGTATTGTTCTAGAGAATGCCAGATAAAATAGTTGGGGTAAGTGAAGAGAAAAGGTTTGTTAGTAACATTTTATATATAAAGCTTTTTTAAAATGGAGCATTTCATATATTTTTTTATTTTTTAAATATATTCTTATTGATTTCAGAGAGGAACGGAGAGGGAGAGAGAGATAGAAACATCAATGATGAGAGAGAATCATTGATGGACTGCCTCCTGCATGTGATTAAGCCCACACACAACCTGGGCATGTGCCCTGACCTGGAATCGAACCGTGACCTCCTGGTTCATAGGTTGAAACTCAACCACTGAGCCACGCCAGTTGGGCTAAAATGGATCATTATAATAGTCTGTGCCCAAATATGAGCTAATATTCAGTAGGTAAGCCTGGGACAAGCCTGAGATTGGCTAGTTAACCGAAATGGGATGAAATGAACCAGGAATGTTTGTCCTCTTCCTCTAATGGGGGGAAGAACTGGGATGGCCCAGCTTGATAACAAGTATTGGGGTAGGTCCAGTCCAGCAGCAGAGCATGGTGTGGAGGGAAGGTATTTTACCCCAGCTGT